TATCATGTTTCGGTTCATCCGGCATCGCCAGGTTGCACCTCACTGTCCAGGAGCTCAGTGATGCCTTATTCCAGATCTGGGAGTAAATACACCAGGGCATCATCCGTTGTGTCATTAGGAGCATGCCCCGACATTGTCAGGCATGCATACAAGCACGTGGGGGCCATACAAACTACTGAGTACCATTTTGAGTTGCTGCAATGAAATTTCAGCAAAATGGACTAGCCTGCTGCATCATTTTTTCACTTTGATTTTCAGAGTGTCTTTGAATTCAGTCCTCTGTAGGTTGATCATTTTCATTTCCATCAAACGATAGGGCATCCTTCCATTTCTAACACGCTACCCAGTCCATATCAGTATAGATATCCAGCATGATATATTTCCCCATTGAGATCTGATGTGTTTTCAAAAGTGTTCCTTTAATTTTTTGGAGAATATATATTTGGGGTTCTAAGTAATTTTCTAGCAAAAACAACGGATTTTTAAATGTAAACAAAAAGTGTCAGAAAAGGCCTGGTCAAAGTGGTTAAGCGCTGGACATTTTTGAACTTACATACTGAAATTCAACACAGGGCGATATTGTGCAGCTGATTGGGGACACTTGAGCACTGGTTAAAGAACTAACTTGTGTAGTCTTGTCTGCCAAAGTTTATCATTGCTCATACCTTATGTCAGGGCTTGAAAAAGCCGCTCGCCTGCTTGCCAAATGCGAGGGGAAATCCTTGTGTGGCGAGCACAGATGGAGTGGCTCCACCTGCGCTCCAAGCCTCATTGTGAAGCCGAGTTCTGGTGTCCAACTTCCGGCTTCTTCTTCGGCATCGCCATTACACTGGCAGCACCGTTGAGGGGACAGGTGCAGGAGAGGTCCGCTCTCCTCCGCTGAGAGGATCCATTATGAGAATAGGAGATTAACTGGGGCAATAGTAATATTAAGCTTATATTTAAAACTCACAAATGTCCCTTGGAAAAAAAAAAAAAAAAGCAAATTAGAGTCAGTCCTTGCAAAGGGGCATTCAGTAAATGAATAAAAGATGAATTAGAAAGATAAAAACAAATACATATTAATGCAGCTCTGTATTGATTAATTCATCAATGTATTTTTCTTTTTACATGCAAGCACAGTATGTACCTATATTTAACCTGGTATCAGCCCCTGTACAGCAGAGTCCAGACTGGGAGAGGGAGAAGCAGCACAAGAAGCCAATCACGTGTGCTGCAGTGCTGATATATCCTGTACATCTGAAGGATGCAGCTCTCCCTGTGTAATCATTGGGCTCTGTGCACTGTATATCAGGAGAATGTGGCTCTCCCTGTGTAATCATTAAATTATCATCAATGAAAAATACAAAATGTTTACTACAGGTTTAAAGCTGTAAAATGTGATATTTTGATTGCACCCTATTGCTATTAAGCTATTGCTGTTATGTTTAAATTGACATAATAAAGCTATATTATAATTGCAGTTTTTTTTTATATTTTGGACTCTTTACTCTAAAGAAAAATGTAATTTCATAAGCTTTAAGGGGGCGTGGTTTGGGGCACGGCTGGGGGACGGGCCAGGGTTGGAGGTGGACCTGGGCAGGGTAGGGTGGGGCAACTGGTGGAGAGTAAGGTTTGTGCCTGGGTAGTACCTATAGGTCTAGACTCGAAAGTTTAAGCCCTGCCTTATGTGTAGAAGGACAAACCTCTGTTCTCCACAAAGAAAAACAGAATTCATCTACCAATAAGCAATGTGTTAAAAGCAGTAGTAAACTCTCTTTTTTAAGTTATACCTACAGTGGGGATCGAAAGTTTGGGCACCCCAGCTAAAAATTTGTATTAATGTGCATAAAGAAGCCAAGGAAAGATGGAAAAATCTCCAAAAGGCATCAAATTACAGATTAGACATTCTTATAATATGTCAACAAAAGTTAGATTTTATTTCCATCATTTACACTTTCAAAATAACAGAAAACAAAAAAATAGTGTCTGCAAAAGTTTGGGCACCCTGCAGAATTTATAGCATGCACTGCCCCCTTTGCCAAGCTGAGACCTGCCAGTGTCATGGATTGTTCTCAATCACCGTCTGGGAAGACCAGGTGATGTCAATCTCAAAGGTTTTAAATGCCCAGACTCATCTGACCTTGCCCCAACAATCAGCACCATGGGTTCTTCTAAGCAGTTGTCTAGAAAACTGAAACTGAAAATAGTTGACGCTCACAAAGCTGGAGAAGGCTATAAGAAGATAGCAAAGCGTTTTCAGATGTCAATATCCTCTGTTCGGAATGTAATTAAGAAATGGCAGTCATCAGGAACAGTGGAAGTTAAAGCAAGATCTGGAAGACCAAGAAAAATATCAGACAGAACAGCTCGCAGGATTGTGAGAAAAACAATTCAAAACCCACGTTTGACTGCACGATCCCTCCAGAAAGATCTGGCAGACACTGGAGTTGTGGTACACTATTCCACTATAAAGAGATACTTGTACAAATATGGTCTTCATGGAAGAGTCATCAGAAGAAAACCTCTTCTACGTCCTCACCACAAAAATCATCGTTTGAACTTTGCAAATGAACATATAGACAAGCCTGATGCATTTTGGAAACAAGTTCTGTGGACCGATGAGGTTAAAATTGAACTTTTTGGCCGGAATGAGCAAAGGTACGTTTGGAGAAGGGGCACGGAATTTAATGAAAAGAACCTCTGTCCAACTGTTAAGCATGGGGTTGGATCAATCATGCTTTGGGGTTGTGTTGCAGCCAGTGGCACAGGGAACATCTCACGAGTAGAAGGAAAAATGGATTCAATAAAATTTCAGCAAATTTTGGATGGTAACTTGATGCCATCTGTGAAAAAGCTGAAGTTAAAGAGAGGATGGCTTCTACAAATAGATAATGATTCTAAGCACACCTCGAAATCCACGGGGGATTACATCAAGAGGCGTAAACTGAAGGTTTTGCCATGGCCTTCACAATCTCCTGACCTCAACATAATTGAAAATCTATGGATAGACCTTAAAAGTGCGTGACAGACAGGAATCTCCTGACCTCAACATAATTGAAAATCTATGGATAGACCTTAAAAGAGCAGTGCATGACAGACAGCCCAGAAATCTCAAAGAACTGGAAGACTTTTGTAAGGAAGAATGGGCAAAGATACCTCAAACAAGAATTGAAAGACTCTTGGCTGGCTACAAAAATAGTTTACAAGCCGTGATACTTGCCAAAGGGGGCAGTACAAGATATTAACTCTGCAGGGTGCCCAAACTTTTGCAGACGCCATTTTTTTGTTTTCTGTTATTTTGAAAGTGTAAATGATGGAAATAAAATTTAAGTTTCGTTGACATATTATAAGAATGTCTAATCTGTAATTTGATGCCTTTTGGAGATTTTTCCATCTTTCCTTGGCTTCTTTATGCACATTAATACAAATTTTTAGCTGGGGTGCCCAAACTTTCGATCCCCACTGTACAAGTAAACCTACAAACAAGCATACCTGTAGGTACAATGAATAGCTTCTAAACATGTACCATTTAGGAGATATTCACATCAGAAATAGCCAAAGTTGTTACCTGCGCATGCGCAGTGATGCTTTGCATTCCGAGCACACAGTATGGAATGCAGAGTGCTTTATTTTTGTGTGAGTTTACTGCAGCTTTAAATAACTGATGATATAGGTCAACTTATGGCTTATGCACATAAAGCTTGGCAACAGGAAGCCTCAAAATGAAACATTTGTTATGGTGTCCACACACGATTTAAAGTACCAAAAGACAGCCCCTCAAATGCATAAAATCAGAAGTTCAAAATGATAAAAGCATCTGTTCAAAATATAAAGTCTTCTAAACCATTTTAAGTTCACTGTGTTCAATTCAAAGCAATTAAACCATCAGCATGCATGGCAAACAGGCACCTTCAGGAGTCTATACTTACACATATCTGCAGTGTCAGAGAACCACTGGAAATTCAGGCACTCAAATGTCAAATATTGACTTTACTTAATCTGAACTCTGACCCACACTGCAGTGAAATCTGCCATTGATCTGTTAGGCCAATCATAGTGATGGACCAAAAAAAAAAAGTAAATAAACCCCAATGGACCTTAGGACTACCAGGGCACCTACAGGGTATGTGAAGATGTGTAACTGCAACCATACGTGCCAGCAGATGGTTTATCATCTTTAAAATTAACACAAATTAATTTTAAAATCTTTTTTATGGTCCCTTTTTTAGTACATACAGAATAAACACGTAAACAAACACTGAAAATGTTAAAATGAATACATTTTAAAGCAGCTTGAGATAAAGTTTACAACAATACGCTGACAACTAATAGAAGCAGAGGAATACAAAGAACCAATATTTCCACAAAAATTCCTGAGATCGTATCCTACTTGAATTATGAATTTATCAGTTTGGTTGTGGTGGTTTTTAAAAACCGTCAGCACCAAACCTGAAATACAAATGAGCAAGATTCACTGGTGGCAACAATGAAATGTATGAAAACAAATAATATCTAAGATCTTACTCCCTGCCTTTTATTCTGCATCTAAAAGTGGCTGCTTTAGTAAAACATAAAGATCATATTATAGTTACAACAAAACAAGTTAAAAAAAATCTGTTAATTTTAATTTGTTATAGTCACTGTGAGCTTTGTGAGAAGCTGGCTAAAAAACAAACTCATTTATGCAGCAGCACTGAGATTTTGTGAAACAATTCTCTTCGCAGAAGATGCAGTTGATTCTTTGTGCAGCTCAATACTGAGAAAAAAAAAAAAAAAAAAAAAAAACACAAGAAGATCTTCAGGGCAAGATATACTGAAGAATAATTGAATCGTCTATCCCCGCAAGTCTTCAGCACCACTGACACTAAAAAGGATTTGAAAATTTTACTATACAAGGTAATGTTCACTGATCATAGTTCGCAGTCTGTGCAGGTCAGTGATGCCAACTGTCATCCTGATGAAAGATGATGTGTCATAAAGGAACTGTCACATTAGACGACTGGTGAGACCAGTGGGTTTTATGCAGCAGAACGCCTCCGGATAACAAACAAGCCCCTCTGTAGCTGGCCTAGGTAGATCCTCATCTTTGTGCTGTCACTGCTTTTCCTCACCCAAATCTGCAAAGAAAAGTTCAGTGAATATAATTAGAAAAGAACCCTGATATAAGTAAAAGGTAGGATGTTCTTCTAAACTAAGGAGCCGATGAAAACATTACATTCAACAATTAACACTTTACATTCTTCAATGGCAAATGGAGAAAGCACCCAAATGGCAGTAACGAGCAATTTCAAACATTACAGCATGGATACTTAACACATTCCCACCCATCATAAAGTACCGGCTCGCTGCCAGGACATTCGCTGTTCTGGGTGGACATCTTATGATGTGCTCCCCAGAATATAGGTCACAATGCGTAGCGATATGTCAGACAGCGTAGCTGATTACAGATCAGCGTAGTTGATTACAGATCAGCGTATCAGCCCACTGCCAGTACCATGTGATCACTGTGACCAATCACAGGAGATCACATGACATTCATTGTGTAATATTGTGGTGATCTCTGTGATTGATCACAGTGCTCACATGGTACAGACTGGGCCAATCACAGCCAATCTGTACAATGTGATTACTATTGTGGTTAGCTGTGATTGGCAACAGCTAAAAACTAAATTAATCAATTTCATTCAGTAAAAATGGTTGTTTATAAACAGTGATTTTCACTGTTATAGGCAATCCTAGTATGCAAAATAAAAAATAAAAATCCTGATCACCTCCCCAGAGCCCTAGAGTACATTGTATTGCTTTTAGCATAAAAAAAGTAAAGAAAAAAAATGAAAAAACAATTTAAAAATTCATCTTTTTTTGTCACATACGGTCACCAGTCAGTGTCCCTGATCACCATTATAAGATGACGCTGAAAAAAAGGGGTGATTTGGGGAATATTTGTACTGTCTTGGTATTTTAGGGTCTCAAGAAATGAGATAGGCCATCAGTACATCAGGACTGATCAATTTTCAGATGTACAAATTACAGTTTGAGGATATCTTTCCTATAGACTAAATAATATACACGGATTTGAGAAGCAGTATACATTTGGCCTAAATTCATGAAGAAAGATTATGCATTTGCAAAATTTTATAACAGACGAAGAAAAATGTGGTTTTATTTTTCAAAATGTTCAGTCTTTTTTCATTTATTTAGCAAAAATTGAAAAACCCAGCAGTGATTAAATACCACCAAAAGAAAGTTCTATTTGCGTGGAAAAAAAGGATACGAAATTCATAAGTGTACAGTGTTGCATGACTACGCAATTGTCATTCAAAGTGCAACACCGCTGAAAGATGAAAATTGGCCTGGGCAGGAAGTGGGTAAAGTGGTTAAAACCAGTTGTGTTCTCAGTAACACATCATTAAATGTGTTTTTTTTTAATGCAGTGTGAGTACTTGAATTTGACTTGGCATCTGTTCCTTGTAGTCCACTGTACAGAAGAGCTTAGACTGTGAGAAGCAGCACAACGAGCTGGCAGGTCCACTTTATGAGGACTTAAGGAGTCAATTAGAGTGCTAATGTCCCTACACTCTGCCTTAGTAGACGGAGTACAGACAGCACTTGAACTACTGTTTACCTGGCCTCAGCCTGCCAGCATTTGACAGCTGTAAACCCAAATAGTTGAGAACTGGAATGCCTGCAGCTGTAAGATTGCTTTAACCCCTTACCCCCCGGTCACATTAAAGCCGATTACAGTGAAGTCACACAATTTCAAAATCGGGTGACCTGCCGATTTCATTGCGATTTGCAAGACATCTGACACAGATGTCTATACAAATCCCAACAAAAGTAGTGCATGCAATACTTTGGAAATCGATGCGGCTCCGATCAAGTCAGAGCCGCACCAATATGACAGCTCTAATTGCGGACAATAAGGTGCGACTTGGCATACGATTTGCAAGTTGCCTGGCATGCAAATCGCATGCCAAGTCGCACCCGATGTGACCGGGGACTTAAATTGGTAGTAAAAAAAAAGAAAAAAGAAAAAAAAAAAGTTTTCCCCCTGCAAGGCAATGTCATAATATGCAAGTATGCATCACGTACTAGCACATTATGTGAAACCTTCCTTAAACAAAAAGCCCTCCAGCGGTGCGCTGTCACAGCTGACAGCGCTTCCACCTTCACTCGGCCCCTCTTTCGGGTTTGCGGGCTCTGGTGGCTTGAATGGCAAAGCCACGATGACGTCATTCCCAAGCATGCGTGCGGGAGTCATTTTTTTACAGCACACAGCTCTGAAGGAAAGGCACAGGCATGCCATTCCTTTAGAGCGCATGCGCCAGTGCTCTACACAGGTAAGTATCTCCTAAACGGTGCACATTTAGGAGATATTTACAGTACCTACAGGTAAGCCTTATTATAGGCTTACCTGTAGATACAAGTTGAAAAAAACAGACTTTACTACCACTTTAAATGCTATGAAACATGGCTATGCACACATCAACATCAGTGAAAGGAATAAAACAATGCCTTTGACACAAAATCTAAAAAAATTATAATGCAAAACACATAAGCAGCAGATAGTATAGAATATGACCTAAATAAACAAATATTAGGTGGAACTGAATGATCCAAACGGTTTACACAACTACATTTTTTCCAATATACTACACAGCTAGCTTCATCGAGCAAAGAGATTTTCCAGCACGCAGGACAACAATCTAAACACCTGCAGGCTGAAAGTGAAAGTCACTGGAGCAGGGTCATTGTCCAGTTATACATTTACACACACGGAAGAATCCACCACAGGTTTTAACAAAAACATGTGCAGTTCACACCATCTGCCGTATCAATTCTGACTTGAACCGCTTCCTACCTGGCCACAGCACAGAAAAGGTGGGAGCTTCGGCGTTCAGAATGGACGTACCCGTACATCCCATCAAAACGTGGGTCAGCACAGAGGCGCGATCCTGTGATAGCTATGTCCCTCGAACAAAGCACATATCAGATTGGGACATGGGTGCTGTGATTGGCTCTCTCGATCATGTGATAGTGATCACTATCACAGCCATCACACAGCGTAAACAAGACACATGTCTGTCTCAGCACTCCTGCTGAGCTCAGTGGGGAGGGGGGGGGACAGAGGATGGCTGCAGCCTGTCACATTGTGTGTGCAGCTGTCATCTGTCACAGTGTACTATTGTCCCATCAACATCTGTCACAGTGTTCCAGTGCCACATCTGTCACAGTGCAGCCTGTCACGTTCTGTGTGTAGCTGATGATTTTAGTGTTTAGCTACACACAGACTGCAGTCATCCCTACACAGTACACCAAGCACCATCTGTCCCTGTCAACATCTGTACCAGTGCACAAAACATCTGTTACAGTGTACTATTGTCCCATCAACATCTGTCAGTGTTTCAGTGTACAAAAACATCTTCAATAGTGTTCCACTGCAATATCAACATCTGTCTGTGTCCCTAGTGGATCGTCAACATCTGTCTGTGTTCTAAGTGCACAAAAACATCTGCCAGTGTACCAGTTTACCACCAATAAATAAAAAATTTGAAGCGCCCCCATACCCCTAGTCCCATACGCATACGTAAGCTGCAATCGCAGCAAACATGTGAGGTATTGCTGCAAACGTAAGAGCAATAATTCTAGCACCAGACCTCCTCTGCAACTTTAAACTGGTAACCTGTAAAGGCCTATAAATTGTTGCCTTTGGAGATTTTTCAATACTGAAGCTCGGTGCCATTTCACAAGCATGCGCAATTTTTTAAAGCGTGACATGTTCGGTATCTATTTACTTGGCGCAACACCATATTTTATATATTTTAATTGGGTATTATATTGTGTTTGTGTGCATGAAAATTAATTGAAGTGTATTATTCTGTTAGTGTGTAAAACTGCATCTGAACAACTGCTGCGTAAATACCGTGTGACATAAAAATCTGAGGAGGAGAGGAGTCAGGACCACCCCCGCCAGGGACCCAAGTAGAGAAGGATCTGGGTAGCTCTGTACAAAACAGTTGCAAAATAGCTCATAAGTATGGCATGATTGTTGTTTTAATAACTTTTTCCCTTTACAATCATGTCTATGACCATCATTGTCACGCTCAGAAAGGAATACAACAGTTTTAAAATTTGGTAGCCCTCAAAGAGGCACAGATTCTTTCATTTCTGATTACATTATTCAGAGATTTAGCAAAATTCACCTAGTCCTTGGTTACTAATTGTGCACTCACAGGCTTGGGGTGGGGGGGTGATCAAACTCTATTGCTTTACTGCATCTGAAAACTTCAAGTCACTAGCCTGGATATGCGGTTTGGTTGGACTGTATAAAATAAATTACACATCCTTTAGCAGGTAACAGAGCTCCCATATAGACTTGAACTGCATTGCAAAAGGAGCAGAAAGCACAACCACTGCGTAGTACAGCAAATCAGCAAGGAAAGGTTTGCTATTGCAATGAAAAAATATAGATAATTCAAAATACACGTAATTTGTAGTTATATACTGTATGTACTTGAGAGCAGTCATATTGTCTTATTACATACATTGGCTCTTCTTACTGCTTAGCAGTGCAATACAATGGCTCTGCTTTCTGTTCCTCAAAACCTTTGTGTCACCTGTCTCATAAAAACAATGCACTCCCTATGTGGCTGATAACCTAACAGTAATGCTCTTCTCCCCTGTACATGTACCTCGTTAGTTCCAACTGAACTGATCACACAGCTGATTTTGGTGTTGTCCTTTGATTCTAGGTATATTGCTTGACTCTTGTGATACCTAAACGGAATAAGAGACACAAAGCATTATATTACAGCTTTGATTCAGTAAAAGCACTTTTTATTGCAGCTACTAGTTTCAATGCACTTTTTTTTTTTTTTTTTTTTTTAAACAATTGGCTTTTATTCAGAAAGAAAAAGCAGAACATATGGACAAGAATGAGCTACAAGAAAGCATAGCATATTATCATATCATGTAATACACAGTTTACAAATTAGTTTCGAAGCAAACTCAGTAGTATAATCAAAACATTAGGAAGCATTCACATAGTAAAACGTTTACAATTTGCAGGTATAATCATCAAATCTGATAGAAAGAAAAGTAAGAACAGAGGAAAATGAAGAGCTAGGAAAGAAAGCAAGAGAATAGCATAAGTAAGGACAGATCTATTTCCGCAAGAGATACCCAGAAATCACCAGCATGACCCACATGTCCAAAAGAGAAAAAGAGCTATTCGCCCATCAGCCCTTTATATCTTTCCAAAAAGTGAAAGCATACCAACTGGACCACAATTTGTGAAACCTGGGAACCACGTCGTCAGTCATAGTCAGTGTCCGTTCCAATTCCTGAATAACATTAACCTCTCAGAACCCAGTCTTGAATCGAGGGGTATGAGTGGTCTTCCAATGTCTGGGAATTAAGGACTTAGCCGCATTCAAAAGGTTCCGCACCAAAGGATCTCTTGTACAATTTCATAGAGCACTCAGAAATATGGAGGAGGCAACATTCAGGAGTTAAGGGCAATGCAGTCTCCGTAATAAGAGTAGATCAACTCTCGAACTTCATCCCAGAATGGCTAAAGTCGTGGACATTGCCACCAAACGTGGAACAAGGAGCCCTCCGCTAACTCACAGCGCCAACATAACCCTGATGTCTGGGGAAACCACCTCTTTAACCTGTCCGGCGTAGCATACCAACGCGTTAACAATTTGTAGGAGGTTTCTTGAGTCCTGTTACTGATGGAGGATTTGTGAGCAAAAATGCAGGCTTTTCTTCATTAGTCAATGGAGAACTCTGCCTGAAAGGCTGATTCCCAACCTAGCTGAAAATTGTCATGGGTGACAGAAAGATTTATTTGAAGCCAAGAATAGGCCAAAGAGGTGGTTTTGTCAACGGGTTTCCCTTTCAGTCATAGCGTTTCCAGAGTTGTAAGAGGTCTGGAGAAGGCTGCCTTCAGTCTGTGGTTGGTCAAGTAATTATGTATTTGATAATAAGTCCAGTATGGGAGAGAAACCTGACCTCATATCTCCTGAAGCTCTCCTTTGGACTTAACTCCTCCTTGCTTGAGACAATGAGTGGCCAATAGAGATAGACCCGACTCATGCACCGGAATCACTCCACATTCCAACCCAGGGGGAAACTCAGGATTATCAGCATTGGGGGTGAGGGGGCATGGAGTGCTAGCAAAACCCTCAACCTTCGCAAGATCATGATACGCATCTAAAGCTGCACCAATTAAGGGATGAGCCATCAGACGCTTCCAGTAGGTAGACTTTGACAACCATGGTGAAAATCTTAAAAGGAGCTGAAGAATAGGAGCTTTCAAGGGAAACCCAGTGTTTGTGTATGGAATGACAATTCCAGTCTATGATTCTGGCAATGTGAGTAGCATAATATTACTTTTTAAAGTCTGGCAACCCCATACCACTGGCTGCTCTGACAAACCAGGATAAGGTTTTCGCATGCCGGATTTTAAAATCGTTCCAAATCTTGCATAATAAGGGGACAAAGTTTTGCTTGTACAAATGCTCCAAATTTGGAGTAAGCCAAATGCCTAAATAGTTAAGGGCTAGAGGGACCCACTTAAAAGAGCAATTTTGCTTAATGAGGGCTAAGGAGGAAGAGTGGACAGTTAAATTCAAGGCCTCTGACTTAGTGTAGTTCATTTTCAAATTGGGGAGGAAATGGTAACGATCGAATATGCTCAAAATGTTAGGCACGAATATGTGGGGTTGGGATATGAAAAATAACAGGTCATCCGTGTATGCCTCCATTTTGTAAGTCTCATTGTTAATGCGAAATCCATGAATCACCTCAGTTTGCTGAACCAGCCAAATGAAGGGTTCAAGGGCGAGGATGAACAGAAGGGGAGACAGAGGGCAACCCTGTCTCATTCCATTCTTAATAGTGATTGTGTCAGAGAGAGTGCCATTGACCTTGATCTTAGCTGTGGGGTTTTGATACAGAGCACGATCCAATTCAGCATGTGCCAGTCCGATATGAGAACACGTAGCAAACATGAAGTCCCAAGACACACGACTGAAGGCCTTCTGATGCGGATCAGTAGAGAGGAGAAGACCTTCGAGGCCCTCAACACGCGCCCTATAGATTAGGTTAAGAGCCTTGACAATATTGTCGCGTGCTTCCCTACCACCCGGCATGACACCGATTTGTTCCAGGCCAATGATATCAGAGAGGTAGGGCCTAAGCAGGTTATCCAGTATTTTTGCAAGCAGTTTTATGTCAGTGTTGAGTACGGAAATAGGTCTGTAGCTCGTGCATTCAGCAAGGTCTTTATCTTTTTTGGGGATTACAGTAATATGTAAAAGTAAAAGTAATACGAGAGAAAGTAGGGGGTATTGGCTGAGACATAGTCAGAGAGTTAAATGTCTGGAGTAGAGGCGTAGAGAGCAGAGAACTAAAGGTCTTATAATACTGTGATGTCAACCTGTCTGGGCCTGGGCTCTTCTCCGGTTTTAAGCTTCAGATAACATTAGCCAGTTCTACCTCCCCAATGGGGCATTCTGGCAATTTGACATCTCAATGCACCTTTTATTTGTTTTCTTCTAAGAAAAGTAGGCCCTGTAGAATTATAAGATAAGCATTTTGCTGGCATTTTCACAATAACTAGAATGGTAAAGTACCTGCAAATATTTAGCAAGAATAAATTAGTAAATGGTAGCATTAATCTCTAATGACTATAAAGCATATAATGAAGGCGCTCTGATGGGTTATACAAAGGTTTCAGTACTGAAGAGAATTGTGAAAGTTGCCAGTGGCGCTTTTAAACAATGCACTTTGTAACATTCTCTTTTAAACAGAAGAAAATAATAAAATACAAGTACTGAATCCTGAATCCTACATTATAATGTGACAGTTATATCACCTTTTGAATATAAAAACAGGAGTCTGGAAAGTCTTGGAGTTCATTGAGGGACATAGGAAGTCATATTGTCAGTTTACACTGCCACCTACAAGAGGATTTGAAAAACAAAAAAAAAAACAAAAAAAAAAAAAACACTGTAGGCCAATCCAGAACAACCTCCTAACCCAGTATGCCTCGGTTTGTAGCAATCATGATCATAAACAGAGGGGTTGAGACCTTTGACAGGAAGTCATATACTGTTAGAACATCCAAAAAGCAGCTCACCTGGAGGGTGGACAACCACCAACAGGTTCAACAGAAAACAGAACTGGGGACTTCCTATTGCTCAAGAGTCGCCAGAAGACCAACACTCAAACTCGACACAGGATAAAGCCAAACCTTCAACATGCTGCCTAAGACCAGGGAAAAAATGGCCAACCATCAGAGAGAGTGACTCGACATGGAGGGAGCACTGAACTATGGACCAAGAGAGAAGGTGGTCAACCTGAACCCATCAAAAATGAGTGAAACAAAAAAAGGGAGGAAAAAACTCATAACTTGACATAGTCAACAAGGAATGGGATCAATCCACTAGTAGGAAAACGTACCAGAAAAGGAACGCAAGACACAAAAGCCATCAGCATGAGAAGTACTGGGAATGCAGAAGCGACACTGTGGATGCAGTGCCTTGTTTTGGCAGAGGGCAATCAAAGCCCAGCTGACTGAGCAGGTCAGAGGATCCCTCTGGATGAAGAAACTGACATGTAGCAGAATTGGCCTAAATTTATGAAAAAAATTAGATTTTTTTTTTTATTGGATATGTCTTATAAACAAAGTAGAAAATATATTTTTTTTAATTTTTGGTTATTTTCAAATATATAATAAAAAATAAAAAACAGTGGTGATCAAATGCCATCACAAGAAAGCTCTATTTGTGTGAAAACAATTATATAAATTTAATTTGCATACAGTGTTGCATGACCGCGTAATTGCTAGTTGAAGTAGCACAGTGCCGAATAAAAAAAAAAAATGCCGCAGTCCTGAAGAGGGTAAAACCTTCTGGAGATTTAGTTGCTAATAGAGTGAAAGAAATAAAAACCATGCGAAAAGGGGTTACTTCTCCACCAATAAAACAAACAAAACATTTTGATAGAGTTAGGTCTAATTTCTCATCACATGGAGGGAGCCACATGATGGGACAGTATATGCTTTTGAAGAGCAGAACCAAAAGCAAGCCTGTTGCTTTCCCCTACATGGTCAAAGTACAGGTTCGCTTTAGAAGAGAACAATGTAATTTAAATAGCATTTAGGGAGTAAACATCTCCAGAACATAGATTTACCTCCTGTTCTGTTCTCTGACTCACTAACCTGTCCAGCAGAGCAGATTTCCATTTCTGAGTGTGTAATTATAGATTCTGTCATTAAGAATCTGGGGATTAACCCCTTGCTGACACAGATCTCATATGCACTGCATCAAAACTAATGAAAAAGAGGAGAGTGCCAGAAGGAGGTTAATCTAAAACCATTGCGCGATTCAAAGACTCCCACGTATTTTAGGCGTTACTTTGATATTTTTAGTTGACTAGCACTGATACACAGTAGATGTTAAAAGGATTCGGCTAAAAAAAAACAAGAGATATATTATTTCAAAGTCATTTCCTAAAAATAACTGAAAGCCCTGTCACATCTGTGCATTTGTAGAGCAGTTAACTGTATGTGAAACTGCGTGCAAAATACATGAAGAGATCTGTAGAACTATAATCCTATTCATTATGCCACCGACTATTATGGCACAGATTTTACTTTCATTGTACTTGTAGCCTCCTGTGTATTTAACTGCCGAAAAATGCACAACTGGTAACAATGCACTAATTTTCAATATCAGGAGAAGACAGCCTGCAGTTGCAGAAAATTC